GTCAAAACATTATTTAGTATTTAGAATTTTAAGATATAAGTTTTAAAAATTCATAATTAGTGACATTTTTGCAAATGGACAACCCCAAGTGGTATTTTTGCAAATGTACACACTAAAAGTGTCATTTTTGCAATTACCCCAACTTTCTATAACTTGACGAAAAAATTAATGTATTTTTATTTATATTAATAAGAGTCTTAATGTATTTCTAATTACTTGATTAATCTATAATTTTATTTTATTTTATTTTAATGCAATAAAAAAACTATTCAAGGCTTTATGCATCATTCGCTTCTTACAAAATTTTATAATCAATTATGTGAAGAAAATCTTATTAAAATTTGTAATTTTAGTTGCAACTAAAATATGAGATTCGATTCGTCAAAATTTTGGAAAAACATATATATGAGTAGATACATTAAAAAAAAAAACCTAATTCAAGTAGAAATAGAAAAACTAATTTTTGGAAAATATGTGATATATTTAAGGGTGAATTAGGCTAATATACTCTTGTAAAAGAAAACTAAAAGCAGTAATCTGTTGAAAAATTAATTAAGTGATCGAACAGAGAGAATAAAATCTCTACCCAAAATACTCTTCTGACGCAACAGTCCGAACCAGACCGAACTAGAACTGTGCATTTGATGAAGACGTGTTGGTGTATAAAAAACAATATATCTTACCATTAAGCACACAGACAACAAAAACCATTTCTGGTTTTCCCTGCCAGTGAGTATTCTGTCTCATTTAAGGTTGAAACTCAGCTTCTTATGGTGAGTACTTGAAACATTCAACCATTTTGCTCGTTCGCCATTAATGTTTTAGCAGGTTCCACAAAACGACAAATGGTATATGGCTAACGATGATTAACAAATTAAATTGTTGTTGTTTATCTGTCATTTTCATTTATTGTAACTGCTAATATACAATTAATGGTTGTGGTGGTTTTGAATGCAGATGAGTGTGGATAACGAGCCTTCAGATGACTACTACGTGCTAGCCTTAGGACATTGAGAAAGCAAGGATAGGGACTGGATATTCAATTTGAACGAGGGTTCTAGCTGCACTGGTGTAATGATACGAACATCATTCACCTATGTCGAGCTTGTAGATCTGGTGAAGAAAAAGCTTTTTTCTGACCTGCGAGAACAAGGATGTGGAACTTTCATATCAAGTTCCTTCATGGTTGACAGAAGATGTCCTTGGAAACCCACCAACAACAGTGGAAGCTGATCGTGACTTGCGTGGGGTTTTTTTTATCATGAACAAAGAAATAGATTAGGTGAATATTTGTGTTTCCATCAAAGGAACCCTTCCGGGGACGGATCCGGTATGCCATAAAGAAGTATATGAAGGGCTGGGTATTGAAGAGTTCATGGAAGGTACGCAAAATTATCATGGA